ATGCATTTTCAATCGACCGCAAAAATGAATAGTTGACAACTCATAACTATGAAACACCATTGAAACATTGCGATGAAAAACTATTAATATAAGATTTCCTCCACCGATTCAAGCATCGCCGGTTCTTCAGAATCAGTAATGTACCATCTCGAAAGCAACGAAACGCATCACAATGAATCGTGAGGAAATATGAGTGCTCATATCTGTATAACATTGTTATCATGTGGTCACAATTAGCTGTTCCAGACACTTTCTTGGTCCGATTTCTGTCTTATATCGTGCTCCTTTGCGGCAAATGTTTAGAAATCAGATGAAAAAAGTTGATTCGCCCGCCGCTTTATTATACTCCTAACACAATTTGACGCGTTCAAATTTCATTTCTATCTGATAACAATGCAAACATTGGCCACTGATTACTTCATGAATTGACAACACTGAGTTGGGAAATCATCCAAAACAAGAAACATCGTGATGAGGAGAACTAAAACTTTTTACAGATGTTAACAAATCAACCGTGTTCACTCGCATGAACATTTTTGTCGCAACTCCATTATATCCTGATCGAAATTGGACCAGAACTACACAGAACGAAATGTAATCACAATCGATACGTGTGTTTTTCCATGAGTCACCGTCAAATAAATTATCTGGGCTAACGACGAAATGCATCAGCAAGGCACATGATTTGATGGTGCTTAGGCAAGGGAATTTTCATTTAAGAATCTGGAATTCAAAAAAAGAAATTAATTGAATTCCTTTCGAGCTGATCAATTGAAATCATTTGTAAACAGAAGGAATTTCTCGAATTTTCACAAGTGAAACAAGTGAATGATCAGTGGAAACGTCGAACTGATAATAAAATTTGCATTCAGTCGAACAAACTTGCCGGGTGGAAGATTTGGAGCCGAAAATTTTCGTTTAACGGATGTCATTAGCTAGCAGACGGATTGAATGGGGACATAAAATGTCAGTTATTTGATTTAATTTCAAGCTGAAGCGGAAAATAATTTGATTTTCATCCTCAGAGGTATGAAATTGCTGGAAAAAGCACATTTTCCGTTTAGTATCTGTTCCCGGTTGTGAGTTTGTAAGTGCATTCACATTGCGCATGCCTTCTTCCAGCAGTAGTCTTATTCAAAAGTAAGAATCGAATGAACATGAAAGTATCAGGAAATCGCAACTGCAAAGTGCCTATTTGACAGATTTGCAAGCTAGCGATCTACTCCTCAATTCTAATAGCTGGAATCATTATGCAAGTTCTGTTCATGATCACTGAATCAATACACTAGTGGTGATACAATTAATGGTCTTAAGCCATGTGATGCGATAGCAGTAATAATTATCATCCATTGAGGAGTAATATTATAATGTTAGTGAACCTCAGTGATATACTAGCAGCAATAATAATGGCACAGCTATGAATTATATTAAAAGCAATGACATGATCAATTGAAACAGTACAATCACAAAATATACATAATAGCTAACACAATAATAGGAACATTCATCACACTGAAAACCTATTCCATTTGGCCCATTCAGGGTTTTATTTTGTAATTTATACCAATCACCTGAGATTGAAATGTATATCATTTATGCATGACATACTCAATGTATCACTTCAAAATTCATCATCATTCAATGAATAAAGAAATGAAACGATTGACTTGTCTGGAGGCGATTCACAGTAAGCAACTGAATGAATACTGTGTGGTGCGCTCAAGTATTTAATGAAATCATTTTGTATTCATGAGTTTTCGCGACATTTTCATCAATCCCAAATGAAATTTTTTCCTTCATTTATTCTTGAATGAGAAGTTTTTTATCTGTTCTTGGCGTGTTCTAAGTCGCTCAGAGTTTGATTATTGCCTTGATTATTGCGGTTATTTAGGTTTTTCAAAGATTTTCAATCTCATTTTGATGACTGCCTTAAAAAGTGTTATCTGACAAGATGCACATTTCATATGGTCATATTGATGCGATCATGCTTTATCGAAACCTCATAGAATCGTACGAGTCTGTTTGCAAAGTTTAAGAGCATTTTAAGAGCAACAAATCGCAGATGTTACACGTGAAATTGTTGGTGTCATGCAATTGCAATTATTGCTCTACAACTAATCATATGATCCTATAGAAAACTCAACATTATCGCAATTTATTGCAGCAGTTATGAAAGAAACCTTACTAGAGTTAGGGTATGCTATGGAAAGCCGTCACTGATTTTCACTTTGGAATTCAAGATTGGGATTCGAGATTTGAATGGAGAACCGAACAGAATGATCTGCTGAAATCGTTAGTGAAACAAGAGGATATAGCAACATTCCCACGCTGAATATTAGCTGAAACGAATCTCTCACAATTTTTTGTCATAGAGGTGATACTTATGAGATGATACTTATAACATCAAACCAAACAAATGCTTTAAAATAGTAACTGAACATGAATTGAGGCGAGCATCAATGTGCCGCAAAAATGAACGCAAAACCATTATTTTGCTATCGTTGCAAATCATTTCATGCTTCCATGATCCACCTTATTTTTACCTTTAGTTATTCGCCTCAATGATGTTGAATATGAGTTGAGCTAACGAGCGGAACTAACGCAAACCTGTCGGAAGTTCTCTGAAACTCTTGCAGGTAGAAGGAATAACGCCTGGAGCAGCCAACACTTACTCAACAATTACACTCTGAGCGAGCTATCATTAACGTTACGGAATTGTGAGCAGTTTAGTTATGCGAGGAGGAAATTTATTGCTAGCAATGTGCAATTTTATTTATTGCATTTAGAAAGTGAAAATTTGGAACTAAATCCCAATTTTAGAACTGATGAAATTATGTGCTATTCACGGTTGAGTTAGTGTCTAAAAATATGATGAAATTGGCCTAAGGANGCAGTCGTTTACCATTTCGTATACTTATGATTGCACTAACTATTGATTGTGCTGGTGTATTTTCAGATGAAGATGCAAACGCCTAACCGTGAGGTTTTTTCGATGACGACGTTGAGAGAAACGGATCTATTGGTTTCTGCACGGGATCCAGAGATCACTATTTTTGAGTCCTGATCGCGATTCTAAGATTGCGACACTTGATTAAACATGACATTTTATGCTATTTTCGTGATGTACTCAAATTCGATTACAAATCAGTCATATCCACCTCAATGATGCTCAGTAATATTAGATGAATTTGATGTTTTCCTTCCAGGTCTGTAGAATTTCTAGAGAATGTGCTGAACAAGTGACATTTCTCTATTTCTTAATTCAACTGTTTAGGCCGGGATTTGAAAAAATTCGATTCAAAGATTTAATCCCGATCTCACATTTGAAGAATTGTCGGCACTCAGCAAACTTTGCTATACTTATATATACGGCCGTCGTTGATACGTTTGTTCGCTACATCAATAACGCATCATTAATGTTCAGTTCATTCATTCTGAACTGATAGCGCTTTATTACGAAATCTAAAGCATAGCAGTCTGTGATGGTCGTACACCCATTACGTCGTTCACATTTGAGGAGAATTTTCGCAAATTGAACATTTAGAGAAAAAAAAGATGGTATTATGCATGATCGTTTAATGCACGGTCTGTTGGTGCGTTTAATGGGATGGAGGTTAAGAA